TTCGGGTAAAATTCTTAAATTAAGGTTAAACTAGAATTTTTTTGGTTATATATATGCAAAATTGCCTTCCCGTCATTTTTGCTCAACGTACCCGAGGTAGGTTTAGACTGCCATTTTTTGTATTTTTCATTTCGCTTTTTTTTTCTTGTTTTGCTTCGCCAACGATCATCAAAATTCTATAATTTGATTGGTCAGTTTCACGTGATTCTGCTCCGCTTAGGCGACCCTAAATTTGGTTACATTTTATGTCTCACAATATTTTTTGCAGTATATATATATGTGAGTTAACATAAGTACATATTTTATAACTGATAACAAAATTCTTAAAAAATGAAAAGACTACCGAACGAATGCCTTATTGTAGTATTTAAAAACTTCCAAGTTGATTCTAAAAGCCTATATTCATGCCTTCAGGTAAACCGTCACTGGTGTAGAATTATTGTACCGATATTATGGAGTAATCCAGGAGAAAAATTAGAAAATAGAAAACTTATAAACATATATCTTTTAGCATTAAATGCAGAAGAACAAGCATTATTAATCCCCTTCAAAATTTTTTTTCCAAATTATCCAAAACCTTTATTTGAATATGCAAGTTATATTATATCTGTTCGTAGTTATTTAAATGCTGGAGTTATTAATTGGCTTAATTATATAGATTATAAAGAAGTTGCTGATAGATGGGAATATAATTGGGACACACTTGTAAATGCTGTTAAATGTTCTTTAATAGCAATGTTTACACGAACGAACAAGAAATTGAAATATTTAGAAGTTTTTGGATTTATTTATAATAATAGTCTATTATTTAAAAATTTTTGTAGAAATAATATTTTTAGTTCTTTATATCTTTATCAAAGTCAGTTAGATTTCGAAGAAACAGCAGAGATCCTTTGCAAGAATACTACTTCTTTAATACTTAATCGTAATAATATTGGAATTAAAGGAGTAAAAGCGTTAGCAAAAGCGCTTTACACAAACACGACATTAGCTTCTTTAAATATTAGTCACGAAAATATTGATATTGAAGGAGGAAAAGCATTGGCAAAAGCACTTTGTAATAGTACTACTTTAAAATCTTTAAATCTTAGCAATAATTATATTAGCAATGAAGGTGGAATAGCGTTTGCAGAGGCACTTTATGTGAACACTACTTTAACTTTTTTAGATCTTAGCAATAATTATATTGGCATTGAAGGAGGAAAAGCATTGGCAAAAGTACTTTGTAAGAATACTACTTTAACTTCTTTAAGTCTTAGCGATAATAATATTGGTATTGAAGGTGGAAGAGCATTTGCAGAAGCACTTTATATAAATACCACTTTAACTTCTTTAAATCTTATTTACGATAATATTGGTATTGAAGGAGGAAAAGCATTGGTAAAAGCACTTTGTAAGAATACTGCTTTAACATCTTTAGATCTTTCTTATAATGGCATTAGATTTGAAGAAGAAATAGCACTAGCAGAGGCTCTTAATAGAAAGATTATTTTAACTTGGTAACCTAATTGGTTTTAGAAAAATTTATTCGATCGTATTAAATCTATTGTATTAATTACTGTACTGTACTGTATAGAATTTTAAAAAATTTTAGTCTATTTTTTTGAAATGTTTTTACACCAATATTTAAAAATTTATGGTTAGAAATAATAAACTTTTTTTATATATAGAGATTTAAGCGCCAAAGTTTTTCAATAGTTTAAATTACGAAAATTGTGCACTTGTTATTCATTAATCTTAATAGTTATGCTTCATTCTCTACGAATATTGATCTTGTTGTTCAATTAAGAAATATAGTGAATGTCTATAGATAACTAAAATAGGATTAATGTGGATCTGTTTTATTAGCCGATTAGGGATATATAGTGAATGTCTATCGTTTACTAAAATAGATCTGTAAATCAGCCAGTTAAGGAAATAAGTTAATGCATATCGTTTACTAAAATAGAACTAGTGTTCTGTCATTATACAAGGAATAAAGGAAATTATATATTAATAACTATAATTTTATTTAAACATATCAGATTTTGCTAACTAAATAAATATAAAACGACATCAAGCCAACGTTACGCGAGCTGACTAGAATTATGCCAGTTAGCTTGAATTATAAAGGCTATGTTGGTAATTTCTTAAAAATTTTGCATAACCTGTGTAGTGCCCATGGCACGGCTAAGAAATTTGGCATGCCATGGGGATGCCAAAATGCAATCCTGGCATGCCAATGGCTCGCCATCATATCTCCCATCTAAAAACCCAAACAAATTCACAAACCCTAAAATGACAATCTCACTCGTATTTACGTTTATGTTTGTTGATACACGTATCTGGTATCAGTATGTACAGTATGTATACATGTACTGAATACGTATATGAGTGCGTGAGAGTGAAAACCTGAAAGTGAATATTTGGCCCTAAAAAATTATGATTGGCGTTTTGCATAATTTAGTAATGTACAGTACAATCACTGTTTACTAAAATTACCAAGACGTCGATCATAACTTTTTATTCGCTTCCGGGTTTTCACTCTCACGCACTCATATATGTGGCACGCCTTATAAGTATACAATATTGGGAAAAAATTGTCGAATAACGGTAATTTGACAAATGAGCACGTGTCGCTTTGCGGCATGTGTAGCCAATCATTTGTCAAATTACCGTATTCGACAATTTGCCAATATTGGTGTTATCCGGCAATTTATGATCATGATTGGTAAGGAGTCGCTCGCTGAGTTTTAATTTTGAATATTGGAAAAACATAATTACATCGTAACAAATGAAAAAACTACAGAACTAACAAAAAGAAATTTTTTCATGATCATATGAGTTTCCGGATAACTATTTTTATTTTTAGGCATGCCAATGGCATGCCATCCTTGGTATGTCCGTGACTGACGTGCCACTCACTCTAGGCTCATCCCTAGTTACAAATGTTTTGTCTCTCATCGAGGGGGTGACAAACAAAAGAAACTATGAAATATAATTATGGGTTATCCGTCTCTTCCGCTATGTGCTAAAAGTGTACATACTAACAATACAGACTTCGAAAGTATCGTATAATGCTATTCTAATACATGTGCTACTAAAGGGGGTATTATTGGCGGGCAGGGCAAAAAAAACCAGTATCATACTGGAAAAAACCCTGTCGCAACCAAACCTTTTATGTGACTGTCGTCTCGACAGGCCACCTTATTATCAAACTCAAAATAAACTGTGACTGTCGTCCCGACAGGCCACTCTTACTAACAAAAAAAACAAAGATAAAAAAGTGACTGTCGTCCCGACAGGCCACTTATGATCAAATACACGACTGTCATCTCGACAGGCTACTTACTATAAAAAACTCAAAATGTGACTGTCATCCTGACAGACTGCTTACTATAAAACTCAAAACTCAAAAGTGACTGTCGTCCCGACAGGCCATAATTTTTCTAAGCAACGACTATTGATTCGATACGGCAAGCTTAATATTGACCCGATGGGTCCTAAAATATACCATCAAGTCGCTATGCAATGTGTACGAGGGCCGGGTAGGGTGGGGCAAAAAAACCAGACAAAGTCGGGTTAGCAGAAAAAACAGAAAATACCTTACCTATCAAAAAAACCGTTCCTCTTAAATACTAACTAACGATACTAATCAAAATTACCACGTCATTACGTCACTAAAGACTCAAAAATCATACGAGAGTCAATCAACAATAAATCAATAAATCACAAAGAAAACAATATTCAATATATCGATCAATAAATCAATGATCAAGACAATACATCATACGACTAACATATCCCATGATCGATTCGAGACAAAATGCTGCTCCGATACTATCGTATCGGGCAGCTAAATTCACAACAACGTTCCATGAAATAGAGAGGTCTGACTGTAATAGATTGATTTTTTATTGAATTTGGAAGGTTGCTGATTTTGACAGGATCAGTTTTGAGAGGTTTACTTATATGTGCTGTAGAAACTATTTCGGCCGGCATTGATTTTTGATATGAAACTGCTTAGGCACCTCAGCAGCTTCATTTCAAAAATCTAAGATGGAAAAGCATTCGCAGAAGTTCTTTATATAAATACAACTATAATTTTTGGATATTTTTTGTGATAAAACTTGTTCTGAAAGAGGAAAAATACTAGCAAGACTCTTTGCAAGGATACTACCTTGATTTTATAAATATTAATAATATTTGTATTGAAAGAGGAAAAGCGTTAGCAAAAGTATTTATAAACAATAATTTAAATAGATTATATATTGCCTATAATATTATTTGTTTTGAAGGAGCAAAAGTATTTGTAGAGGCATTTTATATAAACACCACTCTAAATTGTCGAGAACTTTCTTTCAATGAAATTGCCTTCAAACCAGTGAAAACATTAAAATGACTTTTCATAAAAATCCTATTTCTTTGATTATTACTAATTGCTATTAGTTTTAAAATTTTGTCTTATTGAAAAAATTATTTCAACATATTCTCAAATGATCAAGAAAATGTAGCATCAAAAATTTATAATAGAAATTTTAATTTATAGCAGTACTTAAATTTTAGTATGAAGTAATCGGATTTGATTGAGTCTGTGATCAGAATCAATTGAATTTTCAACTTTTCTCATCGAAAAGATAGATAATTTTGCAGAATAAAATTACGATTTTTTAGATATGAAAATAAAGAACATTTTTATAATATTTATTTTTTGTATCAATTAAAAATTTTCCTGATGCAGCATATGTACTTAGTGAAAAAAATTTTAATTATACAGTATTAATAACGTCTTATATTGTATAATTGTATTTATCTAGTATTTATAATTTAGGGAATAAGTTTAATTTCGTTGTAATAGAGTTGTTACCTGGGTCTAAAAAATTAGTATCCGAATCAAACCCGTACGGATCAACTTGATCCGTATAACAGCTCTGACTTACTCTGACTATAAATCGTATTATTAAGCATGATAATCAAATAGTGACGCTTATTCTGATAATTTCAAATTTGTAGAAATATTTTTAAGGCAAAATACTGCCAGGAGTTGGAATAATTTCCGACTTTTGGTACCACTTTTTATATAATATAAGGCTAACAAAAGATAAAATCCCAATCAACATAATTCCACCTACTCCAATACCAATTCCAATAAACAACACATTATTAAATGATGGCTTATTGTCAGGATCGGTTACACTTGTTTGTAAATTTGTTACTGTGGGCTGACTTGGATTTGCTGAATTTAATGAAGTTACCCAGATGTACTTTTGTATATCTAGGATATAAATGTTATTACTGGTTTCATAATCTATCGCTGTTATAATTTGACCTGAATATAAAAATTAATTGGTTTTTTATCAAAAAATAGTGTCGTAATAGTATATCAGATAAAATAATTACCAAATGCAATAATCATATAATTATTATATAATACAGAAGAATGAAATGCAAGTGATGGCGGAGCATTGATTTGAGAAATGTTTGGACTAGACCACCTCCAGGTATTTGTATTTAATATTGCAGTAGTAGGAATTACTTGTGGACTTAATTAAAAGGATGCACCTGTCGAACTATTTTCTGTACCTTCATATATAACAATGTCTCCATTTTGGGCTAAAGAAAAAAAGTAAATGTTAGTGAATTTTTCAAATTTTTTGTTTCAGCATTCATACTTACTTAAAATGGCAGAATGACCAAGTATAATCACCACTCGCATTCTGAAATTCACAAAGTACTGAAAATAAATTTTTAATAAATGTACACATATCAGCTCGTTTTTAAAATTACCGTCAAACCAAGATAAAGTAATATCACAAACGTCTGTCTCATCTTCAAAATAAAGATGAGCAAGAAGTTCATTATATGATCTGCAACTAAAGTAGTTAAAAAACTTGTGTGACGTACATTATACTTCGGTTTAGCACTAAAATAAAACGAGTTGACATAAGTATAAACATCAAATATGCATACTTTAATAGACCAACTAAGAGATTTTGTATGAATATTCGGATCTATATTTATTATTTGTTGAAAATTATTATAGATGCAGTGATCTAAATAACCAAAATAAAAAAAAGAAAGAAAAATATACATTATTCATATCAATTAAAGATTTTCCAGAATTTATACGTCCACCAATATAAATTATCTGATTGTTTGATAATACAGCAGCGTATTCAACTGATTTCGAAATATCTTGTGGTTGAGAAAGTGTTGTCCAAGTCATAGCAGTAATATCATATATATTCACGTCATTATACCAAGTTTTAGTTCCTTGAGTCCTTCCTCCAAAAATGAAAATTTTTCCATCATTACCAATAATAGACTGTATCCCAATACGAGAAGTGAAACTACTATTAAATCCAGTTACATTCAATGCTGTCCATTGTGAAATCTTAGAATTAAAGATAATTACTGATGAAGAAAAGTTTTTTTGACTCACTCTCCCACCAAGTAAGAAAACTGTAGAATTGTCAATACGACTAACGCAGGAAGTCCCAAAATCATATCTTAAAGGCATTTCAATGTCTTTATACCATGATGGTGTAGCCGTATTGAGTGAATTTGACAAGTCCAAATACCAAACTTCGTTAGTGTTACTTTTATTTTGTAGAATGCCACCAAAGAAATAAACCTTTTCATTAATTAGCACACTGGTTTGTTCGAATCGTGGACCAGGTATATTTTGACAACTAATAAAAATTAATAATGAATTCAATGTAAAAAAAAGATGATAAAAATTCATGTCTATAATTTATTCATTTCGACAAGCCGCATTGAAATACGTACTGTGCATAAGTACAGAAATACGTCACAGTTATAGAAATTAGCGATATAAGAATGAACATTTATATTCTTAGTTAATCTGTGTCATGTTTCTATGTAACCTGGTGTTAATCTTTTAAGGTTATATTTCGAATTTTGTTCGATTGTACAAGAAATCGAGTTCTATGGACGAAAAAGAAAAGTAACATTTACATAAATAAGGTTTTATGATGTACATATACAAAATTTTGTTTTTGGTTTAAATGCAACGTCAGTGCTAACAAATAAGAAGTTATTCTGTTGTTTTCAGTTTCGCAACGTTATGCCTACTGATAAATTCTAAAAAAAAAGAAGAATCATATTTTCAAAACATGATTCTATGCTGTCCAGCATGTCGGAAGAGCGGAGTGCATGCTAAAAAAATTTAGTACCTTAAAATTAACAATATGTACGCTTTGTCGTGAATATGTGTTTCCGGTAAAGTTTTGTTTTTGTACAATTGCTTTATTACATACTCCATCATAACAGCAATGCAATTGTATTGCAAGTTACTCTTTTTAAACCCTCGATATAGTGAATTTACTAATAGACTCAAGTAAAGAAATTTCACAGCTCGATTACTTCATTACAGTAACGAAAGTGACCTGTACGTTATATTACTAATCAAGCCAACTAATTTAACTAAATATGGCACATATCAAACTTAGAACATATCGTCCATGTAACGAAGTGCACGAATTTTGAGTTCGTATACAAATTCTTGATTTTGATTGGGTGTAGTATTGAATACATTCTTGTTTAACTCTCGATTTATTCTCTGATCATTCCCAATTATAGGGCCATCCAAAGCCATGTATCCACATGGTTCTTTTTGTGTTCGCGAAATTTTGTACTGTATTGTATACAAAAATATAAGCCTAAACCTGTATTTAGGGCATCAACCCTCCCGCAAGGTAGCAATTTTACTTGAATTCGTCTTAATTCATCGACAATCACTTCACTTTCACCGACAGCTCGTTTAGCTGATATCATACCAAGTAACAATTTACTAAAAATATACCCTAACCCTATGTGATGTCAACTAAATGAACTTTTGGTAAAATGATTGTTGTCATGAAGTGAGCTTTTTTTTTTTTACAATAGTTTCAAGCTTTAATTAGAAGATCATCTATCGTCTAATTAAAAATATTCCTTGTAAAATTTACTAATCGGCGCTACATAGTACAATCCTAATTTTAACTATAAAACAGGTTTAATTTTAATTCTTCTACTTTGAAATAAAATACGGTTTAAAAGAAGGGATCAAATTTTGTGGGTTGCTATGTACCTAAATCGACTTTCAATTCATACGTAATTAGATTGTGCTTCTTATAAAACTTTATCAAATTTTATCATGCTTACTAAAATATATACTAAATTTTATATTTGTAAAATGACGAAATTGACAAAACTCCTGAAAAAGACGATAAAACCACCGCGAAAGGTTGAGATTCCTGGTGAAAGAACTAACATTAACAAAATAGGAATCAAAAAGCTCTATTGCACGGGCCTTATGTGAAAATCCGTGCTTTTTTCATTTACTTATTGACACGGGATTGTTACGTCAGACACCGTGCAATAAGATAGTTATTATATGGGTATATGAATAACCCAGTTACACACACGGGTTCATATTTAAATCCTGTGCCTTCGGCACGGAATATGAACCCGGGTGTAACTGGGTTATTCATACAATAACTATAAATTATTTTTTTTTAGTAAGCGTAGATATTGCCGGCAAATTTTATAAAATAATATATTCATATTGAATCTTTTGCCAAAAAACGCACTACAATCGCGTAATCGGACACAATCAGATGCTTGTAAATAATTGAAGAAATGAATTGATATGAAATGACAGAAACTTAACGAATAAGTGGTGAGAAATTTTCGCCAAAAAATTTTTTTCAGTTCCTATACAACTTCTTTTTCAATTTTGAGATTACAGAATTAAAATGCAGAAATCTAATTTTTATTATAATAGGTGATGTATTTGTTTTCAAATAATATTTCATCAATTTTTATTTCGTTTCCGATAGATTTTAATTAATGACCGGATTTAATCAACCCCATCCATTTATCACAGAGGAGCGACGAATAAACATTTACTAATTAATTATATTGGTTAATTATTATTCGTCACATAGAATGATTCGTCATACCCTGCGCCAAATGGAAGGGGTCGCCTATAATAAACAATTCAAAATGGGAGTCTTTAAACATTCCTATTTCATTTTATGATTTCATATTTTGATATACAATAAGATTTTTTAAATTCTCATTTATTTCCAAAATACGCTATATTTTTTAATTCTGAAACAAACCGTTTCACAACATTTCCATGATGTATACGAATGTTGAAAAAAGGGCTAAATATAGATTATAATCAAAATATTTTTAGAAAACTCATTGCAACACACATATATTTAAGTAATAGCATACATACATATACGTACGTGCGTACGAACATTTTTAATAAAAATTGATAATCGTTTTAAAATGATAAAATTCCCAAACGAATGCTTTTTTAAAGTATTTAATAATTTACAGGATGATTCTAAAAGCTTATATTCATGCCTTCTTGTAAATCGTCACTGTGTAAGATTGTTGTGCCAATTTTATGGAGTAAAATAGCAAAAAAATTAAATAATAGAAAACTTATAAATACATGCCTTTTAGCATTAAATGAAGAAGAGAAAGCACTATTAAGCCACTTTGAAATTCTTCTTCCAAATTATCCAAAACCATTATTTGACTATACAAGTTATGCAACATTTGTCGGCAGTTCTTTAAATACTGGAATTATTAAATGGCTTAATTATAATGGTCATAAAGGAATACAGCTTAGATTGAAATCTTACAAGGATAATCTTGTAAATGCTGTTAAATGTTCTTTAATTGCAATGTTTTTACGAACAAATAAGAGACTGGAGTATTTAGAAATCTTTGGATTTATTGTTAATGATAATAAAATCATTAAAAATTTAAGTGGAAATAATAATATTATTTCTTTATATCTTCATAACAATTTGTGCGATTCCGAAGGAGTAGCTGAGATTCTTTGCAAGAACATTACTTTAACTCATTTAATACTTAATAATAATAATATTGGTATTAGAGGAGTAAAAGCGTTAGCAAATGCAATTCAAAAAAACACAACTTTAGATTCTTTAAGTCTTATTTGCGATAACATTGGTAGTGAAGGAGGAAAAGTATTAGCAGCGGCTCTTTATATAAATACTACTCTAACTTCTTTAGATCTTAGTTACAGTAATATTGGTATTGAAGGAGGAAAGGCGCTAGCAGAAGTTCTTTGCAAGAATACTGCTTTAACATCTTTAAATCTTAGCGGTAATAATATTGGCAATGAAGGAGGAGGAGCATTTGCAGAAGCACTTTATATAAACACTACTTTAAATTCTTTGAATCTTAGTTGCAATTATATTGATGTTGAAGGAGGAAAAGCATTAGCAAAGGCACTTTGTAAGAATACTGCTTTAACTTCTCTAAATCTTGGTGGTAATAAAATTTGTATTGAAGGCAGAAAAGCATTTTCAGATGCTCTCTGTATAAGCATGACTTTAACTTCTTTAGATATTTCTCATAATTAAAAAAAGATTTTAGTTTCCTTGGATTTTTTCAAATCAGTTATTAAGATGAGAACACATTAAAAGAAAATATTTTCTTTTTTTACTTAATCATCTTTATTTTCTTAAATTTTGATTATTTTTTGTTTATAGAAAAGTAAATATTTTTGTTAAAAAACTTTTACAATATAATCAGTGTTTATCCAGAGATTGTCATTTTTTTTAGTATATATCTATAATTTGTTTCAGAAACCGAAAATTTTCTTATGAAATAAATAAAATTTTTTTTACTTAAATGAAAAACTTCTTTCTTCAAAAATAACTATGAAATATTAAAGATACAATTTCTAGATCTAATTTCTTCGATCGAATGGCTCAAAGAATTTAAACCTTTATTAACTCAGAGTTTAAAAACTGGCAATATTCTAGTTGAAAACATAATTTGCAACATGCACCGAGCACCTTGATCGCATCAGTTAAGATAAAATTTAGAAAAGTTCTTGTATAATACTGTTGTACTCTATGCAACAGTAGGTAGTCGATGCGAAAACGTAATATGAGAATGTAAAATTTTTATCATTAAACGAGCTTTCATAAAAATTTCTCTAAGATCATTTGTTACTTAATATAAAATCATGTCAACGGAAAATTTGGCATGGTTGTAGAAAAATAAATCAATATGTTGATAATTAATATTAATTTAACAATAGGAATTTAAATTTTAGCAATGGTTTGGCAAATCATTGAGCGAAAAGAACACACTTCAGTTCAAAAAAGTTTACTATGTGCAAGGAGATTTAAATGTGATTAAAGAAATATTTATACAAAATGAAGAGCGTATATATGAATTTATATTTTTTGATAAGCTATTCACATTATTTCGAGAATAATTGTTAGACTTAAATTCATAAAGTAAAGAGTATCTTATTTTAAAAATTTGGTCAAAAATAAAATATTCGTTAAAAATTGACTGGTGAGTGCAAAGAACTTTTTAATTAATCATTTAAATAAGTAATTCAGTTTATGAACATTTGATTATTTTTATTATTTGCAAAAGTTAGTTAATACAGTAGAATATTTACTTGTTCGTTTTAATCTAGCTAGTAATTACTGTATAAAGATCTTTATAAAAATTATTAATAGTACTGCTAATCTAAATATCTTTTGTTAAGCGATGCATTTTAAAATAAGTATTTGAATTTGTAAATACTTAACATTAATTCCTATTCCTATTTACATAGTTGTAAATACATAAATGGCTTATGTTTTAAAATAAATTTTATTCCAGTATCCAAAAATTCAAATTTAGAAAGATCACATTATTTTTATATTTGAATTATTTGGATTTAAGATAAAATCAATATTATTATGACTAATAACCAAAGTTTTTAATGTATTGTTCTTACAAAGTGCATTTTCTAATTCTTTTCCTCCTTCCGTTCCAAGATTATTACTCATAATATTCAAATAAGTAAGCGTAGTGTTTTTGCAAAGTGCGTTAGCTAACGCTTTTCCGAATTCTAATCCAAGATTATTATCCCAAAGATATAAAGAAGTAAGCGTGTTGTTCTTGCAAAGTGCATTAGCTAATGCTTTGCCTCCCTTTAATCTAAGGTTATTACGCCCAAGATTCAAAGAGGTTAGAGTAATGTTATTGCAAAGTGCATCTGCTAATGCTTTTCCTCCTTCTGATCCAATATTATTACAATAAAGACTCAAAGAAATCAGAGTGGTATTTTTACAAAGTGCATCAGCTAATGCTTTCCCTTCTTCTGGACCAAGATTGTTATATTCAAGATCCAATGAAGTAAGCGTAGTGTTCTTGCAGAGTGCATCAGCTAACGCTTTTCCACTTGATCCAAAATTACTATTAGCAAGATCCAAATATTTAAGATTCTTGCTAGTTCGTAAAAACATTGCAATTAAAGAACATTTAACTGCATTAATATTATATTCTATTTTAAATCCTCTATCATGAAGCCAATATTTAACTCCATCATGCAAATCATAACCGTCAACAAATGTAATATAACTTGTATATTCAAATAGTGGTTTTGGATGATTTGGGAGGATAGTTTTAAAAGGAATTAATAGAGTTTGCTCTTCAGCGTTTAACGTTAAAAGAAATATTCTTATAAGTCTTATATCATCAAAACGAAGTGGTTTGCTCCACAAAATTGGCATAATAATTCTACACCATTGGCGATTTACAAGAACACACGATAAT